GGGCTGCTCAGACACCGCTGAGTAGAGACACTGCAGAGAAGGTGGCTCTGAGGGGAACCAGAGACAGAAGGTCAGAGTAACCCCAGTGCCGAGTAAGGATCTGGTTCCCAAGGAAAGGGGAGTGTGTGTGTGTGTGTGTGTGTGTGTGTGTGTGTGTGTGTGAGAGAGAGAGAGAGAGAGAGAGAGAGAGAGAGAGAGAGAGAGAGAGAGAGAGGAGAGACAGGGCACACAGCATAGACAATGGGAGAACAATTACACATCAAGCCCAGCATAAATGAATTCAAATCCCATACAGAGCAAAAAATGTCAGTTCAACGCCCCATAGGTACAGTTCAAAAAGAAGTAATTTTTGAGCAGCACTTGGAAAAGCAGGACTGGCGAAAAGGAGCAAGTTTATAACTGTTCTCTTGGTTAGAATGTAAGGAGGGACCCCTCTCAAGTCCTCCTGCTGGGTTGTGGTGGTGGCACCCCCACTCCTCATATCTCCCTCCCCCAGTCCCCAACATTCACTTCAAGCTCATCTCCTTTGGGATGAGAAAACCAGCCTGGCAGCCCCTCTGTTTCCCAGGGGTCACTTCTTCCATGGGCTGCAGCTACTTTCTCTCTAGACCAGAGCTGGAGGGAGTCCCACAGGGGGAGGAGGGAGTGTGTGCCCTGCTGACCTGGCCCAGGGTCAGGATTAGCCCAGGTCACCCCAGTTACTGAGCTGAGCCTTTGTCCACAGGCCAGGAAGGGAGGGAGAGATGGAGGAGGGGTTACCTCAGCTCCTGGAGGAAGGTGTAACATTAGAGGGGGTGAAATTATTGTTTCTTTCTCATTTCTGATCATCACAATCCTCTGGACAACATCCAGAGTGAAGGTTCGGTTCTCTTAGTGACGGGCGCCCACTACCTGCCCAGGCAGCCATATGTTATTAAGTTGAATTTAAAAATTCCTCCTGATGTTGCTTTTGTGGTGGGGAGAGATTCGTGGGAAGAGATGGGAGGTGATGACAGAGGCTGGGCCCCAAAACTTCTACAGAATGACCAATTTCTGACCTCTGCTCAAACAGAATAAGGACACTTTTTCACATTATAGACTTGAAATGTCTGAAATCTCTGTGTGCATAAGCAGGGAAAATCCCAACATAATACATGGTTGTTTTCAGTATGTTGGTTGGTGTGAAAGTCCTAACCCACCATTACCAGAAACAAGAGTCCTCCTGAGCTGCTTTTTGCATAACAGTATTAATTTCTTAGCTCACGTGACATATTGGGGTGCCACCCTCCAGGTACTGGGGTACAGAGTGAACTGTCCTGGGACTCTGTGTGTCTGTAACTCAGGATCCAGCTGGAGACGGGCCTGGGGAGCACAGAGCGAGGGGCCCCTGACCTGGGAGCCGCTGTGCCTCCTCCCTGAGGAGATGACAGGTGACCTGAACACCACAGGGAACAGGAGGTGACAGGGAGGTGAGTCACCCTGAGGAGACAAGGTGAGGGTCATAGGTGTTGGGGATGGGGCGGGTCCAGGGTGGGGCACAGGCTGGAGCAGCTGCAGTGAATGTAAGCTGTCCCTCTAAGAATATCAACAGAAATTGACAACTGATAGTAATTAACTGCCTTGATAAAGTACAAGCTCCAAGTGAAAACCAGATAGTGAAAAATTGTGTCCCATTGCTATAAACTTGACAACTTGCAGCAGCCATTTACTTTTCTTTGGGGATCTTTGGAACATAAAACATGTATGATTTTCAAAATTTGATTCTAGAATAATTAACATAAAGATCATATAACCTAGTAAAACAATGCATCATTATTTATTTATTTTTTTAAAAAACATTGATTAGAATTTTTGTTTTTTTAAGTTATTTATTTATTTATACAAGCACTGGGTACAGTCAGAAGCATGGGAGGGTGAGAGAATTCACCAGAGCCAGAGAGGGGAGCAGAACAGGCAGACTGACAAAACACACTGCTGAGGGGAGCAGCGGGCGCGGCAGGAGAGGTCTGTGTGCCATTTGGGACCCTCGCCTGGGGGTCAGGGATCCAACCAGCGCTGCGGAGGCTGCGGGCAGCTTCGCAACCCAGCCCTCAGCCGCTGCACCACCGGGGAGGCCCATGCATCACTTTTTAAAATCATGTATCAGTTCAAGAGTAATAATCAATAGAGGCCTATGGAATTAATGTAACAGGGTAGAAAACATTCAGTGACATTGTTCTACCACTCACTTTGCAAATAACATTTGAGAAACCACCACTTGTATAATTTCAATTTATTGTAGAAGTGGAACAAAGTTGCATATTCACAATTATCTGAAAGGTAGTTAAAATGCTATTTTCGCCTATTTCAGAGAGGCTGTATAGTCTTCCATTGGCCAACCAAAGCAAAAAGTAAATGCAGGAGAAAACATGACAACCCAACATTCCTCTAGTGAGACAGAGAAGAAAAAAAATTACACAAATGGAAGCTGTAAAAGATCCACTCATGACCCTGATTATTTTCATTAAATATCGGGCTGGAGACTAGGACAGCTAAGGCCAAAGCGCAGAAGTTCCGAGAGAACCTGAGTGCCCTGCGCGGCTCCTACAACCAGAGCGCGGCCGGTGAGCGGGGCGGGCCCGGGGCGCTCACGACCCCACCCCCGCGGGCGGGCGGGGACCCCAGACCCCGGCCCGAGCGTCCCCCGAGACAGGGGGACCCGCCGGACCCTCGACGCGGGACGAGCCCCGGGACGTTCCCCGCGAGGTTCCCGCGTCAGTTTCGGTTGATTACCGGCGGGGGCGGGCGGGGTGACCGCGGGGTGACCGCGGGGTGACGGGGCGGGGACAGGCTCTCACACCCTCCAGGAGATGTACGGCTGCGACGTGGGGCCCGACGGGCGCCTCCTCCGCGGGTACAGTCAGTGGGCCTATGATGGCGCCGATTACCTGGCCCTGAACGGGGACCTGCGCTCCTGGACTGCGGCGGACACGGCCGCTCAGATCTCCTGGCGCCAGTGGGAGGCGGCTGGAGCCACCAAGCGCTGGAGGATCTACCTGGAGGGCAGGTGCGTGGAGTGGCTGCACAGGTACCTGGAGCACGGGAAGGAGACGCTGCAGCGCTCAGGTAAGAGGGGCCGCGGGTCTCCCAACCCCCTCAGGCCAGCACCGCGGGGAGGGTGGCGTCAGGGTCACAGCAGCGCCCCCTCTCTGGTCAGGGGAGGAGGAGCCCCCGGGTTTCCTGACTCCCCACAGGACCCCACGTTTCCTCAGAGCAATTACGGAATCCAGTGTCTCCTGAGACTGAGGGGAGACCAGCCCTGACATCACCCTTCACTGGATCCTTGTGACCAGCAGCCCTCTTGGGAACCATCAGTTTTTCCCTCATCAGTTTTTCCATCAGTAATTGGTCTGAGGACATTTTTCTGATCTGACTCCTGCTTTTCTGAGTCCCCAGGTCAGGAGCAAAAGTCTGTGCTCTCCTCCTTAGAGAACTGTGCCCTCCTATCCGGAGTTTTCTCCCTGATTCTAGAACTTTCTAAGGAATGAGATTTTCCCAGAATCCCCAGACCAGGCTGGTTTCTAGATTTTGTGCTTCCTCTTTCCAAACCCATTGCCCTGTCCATTCTGAGGATGCGACATGAGGGTTTTCAGGGTCCATGAGAGAAAAACCCAGAGTGTGAAAGTCCTCACCCTTCATCTCAGAGGCCCCAAAGATGCACATGACCCACCACCACACCTCTGACCAGAAGGTCACCCTGAGGTGCTGGGCCCTGGGCTTCTACCCTGCGGACATCACCCTGACCTGGCAGCGAGATGGGGAGGACCTGACCCAGGAGATGGAGCTGGTGGACATCAGGCCTGAGGTGGACAGAACCTTCCAGAAGTGGGTGGCTGTGGAGGTGCTTTCTGGAAAGGAGTAGAGATACAGATGCCACATGCAGCATGAGGGGCTGTTGGAGCCCCAAGTCCTGACTTGGGGTAAGGAGGGAACGTGGGCACAGATCTTCTCAGGGGCATCAGGATCCCTTCTGCAGAGCTTCAGAGCATCAGATGGAGGCCTGGGCCTTAGGGTCTCCCCTTCCCTTCCCTTTCAGTGCCACCTCCTCAGCCCACCATCCCTACCGACTCCACCGACCCCTCCACGGGCATCACTGCTGTCCTGGTTCTCCTTGGAGCTGTGCTCACTGGAGCTGCAGTGGTGCAGCTGTGATGTGGAGGAAGAAGTGCTCAGGTAGGGAAGGAAGTGGGGGTATCATGTCCACTGAGGGCTTTCAGGCCACAGGTAGAACTTGCCCTACAATGGGAAATACCATTGTAAGGGCAGGATGAGCACAGGGCAGGATCTCTATGACCCGAGCAGACAGGTGAAGGAGGAGTCCTGATCCCTTAGTGGCTTTTTCAGGCTTTTATTGAGTTTACCAGGTACACAGCAGGCAGGGGCTTTGGGGGGCGGGAGGCTAGCAGGCCTCCCAGCCCCCAGCAAGCCTTCACTCTTTTTGGGCTGTCCGGCATTCTCTTGTGTTCTCTGCTTCTCTGCTGGTGCTCTTTCTTGTTTGTTCTCCTTCTGTTGGTTCTGCTGGTCCACTGGCATCTCCGTGACGCTGCCCTTATAAGCCCACTCTCAGCCCAGGTGAATCCCACCTACGCATGCCCACACCCTACTCTTGGTGCCCACTATCAGGCATGCATTTTATCAAATGGCGGGAGGTCAAAAAGCCTGACAGTTTTTACTTACCCTACAACCATCCACACACTTGTGTTGCCCAGTCTGGAGCTGATTGCTAACCCTCTTTTGTAAAGCATTTTTGAAAATGAATCACATTGTCCCCCTTGATAATTCTGGTGATGGGCCCTGCTTCCAGCAAATGGCAGAGGAGAAGGTCCCTGCTGAGGGCAGGCCCAGTTGGCTGGTGGTACAGTCTCCTCTCATCTCCTTTCTTCATATTTCCTGGGCTTGCCTAAGTGTCCAGTCACAGATCTGGAAACTTCCCTGTGGTCCAGACTTGGGGATTCCTTTAGGACTTCATAGTGTGACTTTTCCCTGGTCTCACATGAGGCTTCTTCCCACAGGAGGACAAGGAGGAAGCTACATTCAGGCTGCAGGTAAGTGTGTGTAGGGTAAATGATTGTCAGGCTTTTCTGCCCTCCTGCCATTAGGGTTGATGATCCTTATGGTCCTGAATGCATGCCTGATGGCAGGCATCTGGAGTAGGGTGTAGGCATGCGTAGGTGGGATTCACTTGGGCTGAGAAGGGGCTTATAGGACTGCATCTGGGAACAGAAGCACCAGAAGGAGAACAAGCAAGAGACTGGAATAGAACACCAGAGAGAGCCCAGTAAAGAGTGAATATTCTCCAGGGGCTGGGAGACCTGCCAGCCTCCTGCCCCCAGCACCCCTGCCTGCCATGTACCTGGTAAAATCCCGAATAAAGCCTGAAAAAGTCACCTGGACTCCAGGACTCCTCTCCTTTCCAGTTATGCTCGGGTCATAGAGATCCTGCACTGTGCCTTCCTGCAGCTACAGTGTGGATCAGGAGTTTCATCCCTGAGACCCTGGGGACAGTGTAGATGGAACCCATGGGGGAGTCACCCACATCAGTCCCTCCTGCGGTCTCATCTCTCTGTGGCTCTGACCAGGTTTTGTTTTGTTCTCCCTCAGGCTGCGACAGTGCCCAGGGCTCTGATGTGTCTCTCAGCTGCTAAAGGTGAGACCCTGGGGGCCTGTGGTGGGAAGGGCTGGGACAGAGAGGATGGGACCAAGTTGTGGGGAACCTGTAAGGGGGGCATTCTGAGGATGCAGTGGACTATGGAGAATGTGGGCACTTACATGTTTCTGTGAAATTTTTTATGATCCTTTTCCTTCACAGTGTGAGCCAGCTGCCTTGTGGGGGCTGAGTGATGCAGCATTTCTTCTCACCCCTTTGTAACTTCAAGATCCTCTGGTTTCCTTTGCTGCAAAAGACATCAGGATGTGTCTCTGTTCTTAGGAGGTGGGGAAACTGGCCCAGCCCTGCCCACCAGGCCCCTCCCCACACTGACCTGTCTCTCCGTGAAGACTTTCCTGTTCCTGCAGAGGCAGCTTAGTCTGCGTCTACCCCGTCTCTGTGTTTTCCTCAGGAATAGTAAATACTTCCCTCTTAAAATAATAATTGAATTCTGAAATTCTTTTTTTTTTTTTTAATGTTCTGTGTTGGGAGAGACCCTGTGCAGCGAGCAGAAAGGCCTTAACCTGAGTCCCAAAGGCATGTGAAAACACATGCATCTTGGAGGAAAACCTCTGAGTGACCAGACCTGGTGTTCAGTGCCCGGAATGTGACCTGCGTGGACTCAGGCCTTTCTGTCTCCACAATCTTAGAATAACAAGAAATAATGAGTGAAATTCCCATGCTCTAGCTAGGAGGTGATAAGATTATGTGCGTGAGAACTAACCACCTGGCACCCTACTGTCTGAAATAGATAATAGTAAGAAAGCAGAATAATCAGTCATATCTACTGTCATTACATGGTATGCTTTGATGTTACACTTGCTGCACTTAAAGTAGTATATGAAAGAGCACTAAGGAAATAAAGATTCACTGCTTGCTGGACATGACAGTCCCCCATGTCTGATTTCCTTCATGGTTGCGTCCCAGGTCCAGGACTCACTAGACGTCCACAGTTGTGGATTTATTTTTTTTAAGATTTATTTATTTATGCATACAAGAGCTGGGGTACAGGCCAGTGATGCAGGAGGTGAGAGGATTCACCAGAGACAGAGTGGGGAACAGAACAGGCAGACTGACTGAAATACACTGCTGAGGGGAGCAAGGGGTGAGACAGGAGAGGTCTGCTGTGCTATGTGGGTTTCTCCCTGGCTGGCCGGGCATCGAATTCATGCTGCAGAGGCCATGGATTGCTTCATAGTGTGGTACTTAACCCCTTGCACCACCAGGGAGGCCCTGAGTTCTGAAATTAATTTTTGTAAGCTTGCCTGATGGGTTTGGTGGGCTAATAAAAACGATTCCTAAAATTTGAGATGAAATAAATGGGAAACCTTCCAGAATCATATGTGTGCTGTGCTGAGTCTGTGCAGGTGGGGGTGGGAGAGGCTGTGAGGGGCTTAGGGGGACAGGCCTGTGTCCAGTCGGTGCTCAGTGTGTCATGGGCTTTGACGTAGTAACTCCTCAGGGTCATCTCTCTGCTCCTTTGTCCTTGTCCTTCAGGAGCACCTGTCACAGCAGGGCCTGTGATCACAGGGCCTCAGACCCCACCTGGGCCTGTCCTGTCTCCAGGATGTCAGTGGAGGCTGCATGTGGCTGGATCAGGGTTTGCTAAGGTCTTGTTGAGGATTTTGCATCTGTGTTCATCAGGGATTTTGGTCTGTAGCTTTCTTTTTTGTGCGAGATGTCCTTCTCTGCTTTTGGTGTCAAGGGAATGTTGGCATCATGAGATGTGATGGCAGCATTCCCTCTTCCTCTATATTTTTGAAGACTTGAGAAGTCAGGTGTTACTTCATCTTTAAAGATTTTGCAGAAGTCACTGAAAATGTCTGGTCTGGGGCTTTGTTGTTTGGGAAACTTTTGATTTGTGTTTCAATGTCTTTGCTTTTAGTTGCTTTGTTCTGAATCTTTCTGACTCAGTCTCAGAAGGTTGTACACTTCTAAGAATTTCTCAGTTTCTTCTAGGTTGAGGTTATTCAATTTATTGACATATAGGTATTTAGTATTGTCTTATGATCCTCTCTATTACTGAGATGTCTGTTGTGACGTCTCCCTTTCGTTTCTTATTCTCTTTGAGGTTTTTTTTTTTTCTTCCTTTTTTCCTCCTTGAAAGCCTATCAAGAGATTTGTCTATTTTGTTTATTTTTTTTTCCCAGATAACCAGTTTTTGGTTTCATTGCTTTTTTGGTCTGTCTTCAATTTCTGTGTCATCTATTTCTGCTTTTATTTCCTTCTACTGTCTCTTGGTATCATTTCTTTCTAACTCTTTTAGGTGTAAGGTTAGATTCTTTCCTTGAGCTCTGTCTTGACTATAGGTGTGGCCTGTATTGCTCTATATTCCCCTCTTAGTGCTGCTTGTGCTGTGCCCACTGATAGGTTGTCATTTGTCTCAAGGTATTTTTAAATTTCTTGGTTGTTTTTCTCCTTAACCCAATAGTCATTTGGTAGGGTGTTGTTCAATCTCCACATACTACTTTTTCCCTCTGGTTTCTTTTTATGGTTGATTCTAGTTTGATACCATTGTGATCAGAGAGATACTTATATGATTTCAATCATGATGAATTTAGGGACACTTGTGTGACCCAACAAGTGGTGTATTCTGGAGACTATTCCATGTGTACCTGACAAGAATATGCATTCAGCTTTTTTGGAATGTAGCACCCTATGAATATCTATTCAGCCCACATGGTCTAATTCATCACTTAAAGCTAGAGTTTCCCTGAGTTCTGTTAGGTGGGTGTGTCCTTGATGAAAGTGGGGTCTTGAATTTCTTTACCACTGTTGTGTTGCTGCCAATATCTGTTTTCAGATGTGATCATAGTTGCCTTATATATATTGCTGCTCCTTTGTTTGGTGCATGTGTATTGATGAGTGTTATGTCTTCCTGATGCAGGATCCTTAATCAGATGATGGTAATCCCTGTCTCTTGTTACCTTTATTAGCTGGAAGTTTATTTTATCTTTTATGACATTTTGGGGGTGACCCATTTTCTTGTGTTTTTTCCCAAGAACTGTTTTGATCCTCTCTCCTGGTGGCTGCATAAATTTGGGTTTTGTTTTTTGGTGCAACCAGTCACTCTGTGTCTTTCTTTGGTGATTTAATTCATTTCCATAAAGAGTGATGACATGATGAGTTACTACTGTGCTTTTTGTCTTTAGTCAAATCCAGCCAAGAAATGTGTGGTATCTGGAGAGGGAGGTGACGCTCCAACGTCACTGCCTCATAGGTCCCCGGGTCAGTTTGCAAGATGGAGTCGGGTGGGAGGCCCAGACATTAGCCAGGTGGCTGGGGTTCAGACATGGGCACTGTCATAACCCCCAATCTCCATATCTTTGTTTCATAAAGGGAATGGGGGAGGGGTGTCAGGACAGTATCAATTTCGAATTCACAGAGTGCTGGAGAGGGATCTCTGAGGTTGCACAGAGAAAGTAACTGCCGAGGTCACGTAGTCGGCCTTTCATCAGCTCCCTGGGCCACTTCTATTCCTGTGCCCACATCTGGCTTTCAAGACCCAGCTCCCATTCCCCTTCCTGCTGAGGAAGGAACCTCCCTGGCTCTGCCTTTGGGTCCCTCTGAGGCAGCTACTGCAGCCCTTCTCTCCTCACACACCCCAGGCTGCAGGGTCTCCTGGGTGGGGTCACGTGGTTCTCTGTGACCTCAGCACCCTGGACAACAGCATGCATTGGGGAACGGTACCCCAAATGCCTGCTGCAGGTCTGTGTCAGCAGAGTCATCTGGGCTGTGTTTAGAGAGAAGTTCCCCTGCCTGTCCCCAGAGGCAGAGAGTGGGCTCCTGCTGCCCAGGGCTGGGGAGGGGAAAGTGGGGGTTGTCCCCATGGGCCCAGGCCCAGAAAAGGTTGTTGTGGTGATGGAGATGTTCTCAAGGTAGATTATGGGATGGTTGCCCTGCAGTGTGCTTACCAAAATGACATGAGAAGTGAACCTTCAACAAGTGACTTAATGGTCATAAGTTATATCTGAATAAATTTGCTTTAAAAACAGGGCCTCCCCGGTGGCGCAGCGGTTGAGCGCTGGGTTGCGAAGCTGCCCGCAGCCTCTGCAGCGCCTGTTCGATCCCTGGCTGCTCCCCCGCCACCGGAGGAGGGTCCCACATGGCACGCAGACCTCTCCTGCCACCCGCTGCTCCCCTCACCACTGTATTTTCGTCCTTCTGCCTGCTCTGCTCCCTGCTCTGGCTCTGGTGAATTCTCTCACCCTCCCGCGCTTCTGACTGTACCCAGTGCTTGTATAAATAAATTAAATAAATAAACAAACAAATAAATAAATAAAAATAAAAAATAAATCTTAAAAACATTAAAAAATGGGTCGACAAGTTGCCCTGTGTCTGTCCTCCACTGTATCTACATCCAGGGCTTGCGGGGCAGGAAATTGCCTCAGCCCATGAAGTGCTGAGCACAGACGGCTTCACTGCACAGATGCTCTCAAGAAGCCTCCTCTGCGTGGCCCTGAGTCACATGATGAGATGCTGACGTCACGCTGCTTCTGTGATGGAAGATACCTTTAGGAGACTTGGGTGTGAGGCAGCTTATTTTTCAATGGAAATAATGAGCGTCCAGAAGGTCTTCTGTGTTGGCTTTCAATTTTCCAATTCTCTGATACACAGGAGGGGAGACAGTTCCCCCCGTGAGTGTGTCTGACTTGCTGGCTCTTCCTCGTGAGGAGAATGAAGCAGAAGGGACGCGCCACGTCACAGAGTCAGGCTCACAGGGGCTGAGACTTCTCTCCCGGGCTCCCCCTCCCGGTCCCTCTCTGGGGTGACTCCCTGCACACAGTGGCCGCTCAGCTAAGGGGACGCCCACAGGACAAGGAACTGAGGGTTTTCTCCAGGAGCCACATGCATGAGCTCTGAGGCAGGTCCTTCCACGCTGATCATGGCCGTTCAGATCCGCCAACATCTCATCCCGATCGCAGCCTCGTGGGACCCAGAGCTGGAGCCTCTGAGTGAGGCCCCTCTTCATGCCTCCCCCTCAGAGACTGTGCCAGATGCCAGATCTTTGTTTTAGGTGCAAAGGATGAAGTGATTTGGTACAAAACATTAAAGAAATTAAGGCGATAAAGTCATCAGTGGCTGTTATCTCACAAGAAACACTGACCAGAGTAGCTCACGTGACAGTCAAGTCTTGATAGCAATGAGATGTCAGATGAGAATTCCACATCCCCTGAAGTGTCCTTCAAAATAAACGTTATTTAGAAAATTATTTCTACTGTTTTCAGATTCCATTTAATTTTGCTGTTCATTTATTTTTCACACTGTCTCCAGAGCAGCGTCTTCAGGATCACAGCACAGAGGGACTGTCTGGCACCCTGGAGCTGTGTTCAGGGCTGACTCTGACCCACCTGCAGGGAGTGGGGCCCTGGAACCCCAGAAACAGCCCCCAGGGCTGGTCCGCCAGGGCAGCACAGGCCTTGCTCTGCCCTCCTCTTGGCTCCCTGAATCTCCCTGACACCCCAGCATTCGGGAGCTGAGGGAGGAAGTTCTCGATAAGGACAGGGACTCCCCTGAACTATCTATCTCCCCCATCTCTCTGCCATCCCCTGCATCAAGACAAAACATGTAAGACACTTAATGGAAAGGAACTTAAATACAGTTAGTGTGCAACAAAGAAAAGGAAAGAATAAAGTTTCCAAACCAAGCACCAAAGTCACCATCCCCTCGTGGGTAAATGTTCAGCCAAACAGGGTTGGCCCAAGCAGGGTCTGAAAGCCCGTCACAGTCTAAAGCCCCTCCTGGCGGGACCCATAGAAAAGGGTGGACGGGGCTGACAAGTCTGAAAGGAAAAGAGCAAAATCAAGATAGAAGCTGCCATTTTCACCTCCACATGGATTTCTCACCCACGTCTGTGTCACCAGTCCAAGGCCAGGAAGCAAGCGCAGTTTCTTCACGTGTCTCTACCCCATGTGCCTCCCCCAGGTCTCCTTCTGGCTCCATCCTGCTTCCTTCCTCCTCAGCCTCCTCTCCAGCTGCTTCTCCCTGCTCAGCTCCACCCTCTTTAGGTGGGACAGGGAACCCGGATCCTCCCCTGGGGACCCCCCTGTTACAGTCCTCTCTTCACCAGCATGTGAGTGTGTGTGGGTGACACCAGCCCTGCAAGGACGGGCCAGGCCCCAGATGTGCGCAGTTCCCTAGGCAATTACAGGCCAGCACTGCTGCATCGCCCCAGGTGAGACAGATGCTCCCAGCTCCCCAGTGAGAGCCCGTGTCACCCACACAGACCTTCCCCCCACAGTGTCCCCTATGCTGCCCCTTCCCTGCTCCATCCTCTCTGGCTCCCCCTCACCCCTTTCCACCTCTGTCCCCTAAAGTCCCATTTCCATCCTCTGCTCTTTTCCAGGAGCCTCCCCATCTTCCTAGCCAGTGCCCTGGGGGCTCTCCTAGACCCCTCCCCTCATCCAAGGATGGAGAATGTAAGGTGATTCCCAGGAGGAGGGGCTTTCGTCCTTGGAAGCAGAAGCAGAAACAAATTCAGGGACCCTGGAATCTAAGTTTCCATCCCAAAATTCTGAGGGGACCTATATATTTAGGGATTTGCCCAGAACCTAGGAACCAGTTGTCATGTCCACTGGAGACTAAAAATAAGGACACTTAAACTGACCCTTGTCCTGGGCGGCCCCTAGTGTGCAGATCCCTGTCCTGCCGCTGGGAGCCCAGGGAGCCTGGGGAGGGCCTGGCTGAGCAGGAGAAAGGGCAGCTCTGGTCTCCTGTGCTCAGCCCTGTGGCCACACGGGGGCGCTGCCGCGCTGCTCCGGATTCTGGCGGAGCCGCCAGGACGGGGCGGGGTCTGAGTTGGGCAGAGTTGGGGGTCCTGGAGGGCAGCGTCTTTGGGGTGAGATGCTCTGTGAGGAGTCAGAGAAGCCCGGCTCAGAGGAGAGGAGACTATGGGGAATGCCCCGGGTGTGAGGTTTCCAGCTTTTCTCCTCAGAACCCCTCTCTCCAGTCCCTGGATAACAAAACCTGGGGAAACAGGAAAGTAGATAATTTTTTCCTTCTACAACCTATATAGTATTGAGGACATTAAAAAAAAATAACATTTTAAGAATACAGTTAAATTTACAGAAAAGTTGCAAAGGTAGTACAGTTCTTGTTCATCCCACACCATCTCCACTTTGTTAACATCTTACATGACTAAAGTTGTCAATATTTTTTTTACAGCTAATGAAACAATGTTGACACAATCACCAAACTCCATGCTTAATTTCATTAGTTTTTCCTAATGTACATTTTATGTTCCATGATCCTCATTCAGTTCCAACCGGGTCTCCTTGATGTGCCTCTGGCTGACAGTTTCTCTGACTTTCCTTGTTTTTATAACACTGACATTGGTGAGGAGTGATGTTTTGGAGAGGTACTGAGTTCACAGATGTTGTGCCCAAGGTCAGCAGACTAAGCAGACTCGGCGAGCATAGCCTCCAAGAACCCAAAGACAGCTGACACAAACACAAAAGGGTGTTTATTTCAGACTCGAGTCCGGGTTCACGGCATCTACCAACGCAGTGCAGTGGCAGATACCGAGAGCCCCGAACAAAGGAAGCAGGGGTCTTTTAATAAGGTTAAATTATGCTGGCAATTACTCATTGGCTACAAGGATGCGTTCTCCAACTTTGCTGGCTATCATTCTAAGCTGACTGGCCAGGCCAAGATGCAGCTCCAACCTGCAGCTCCAATTACAGCAAGTTCACCCTCATTGGTGACCAGAGAGTAAGGGTGGAGTGAGGGTCCAAACTATCTCTGGAATGCAGTCTTTTCCCAGCAAAACCTAAAATTCTAAAATGGCAGTTACACAAAGCAATGGCTAAGAATACTTATGCTTGGTTCCACAACAGATAGGGGTTCTTGGGTCACCTCTGAGAAGTTTCACCAGAGTCGCCCTTACACATACACAGTGAGTATCCTACAAGACAGAGACCTTTAGTCTCTGCCAAAGAGAAGGTTTATATTTTAAAAAAGGAGTGGGGGTGAACAAGAAGATGCTTGCACAGGCACAAGCAGGCAGGAGGAGCTGCCCCTGGAGAGGGCGGGTGTGTTAAGAGAAGCCTGCAGGCCCCAGGTGGCAGCCTTGGGACTAGAGCTGCGTCTTTCAGGGGCAGAAAGGGCACTGAGGTAGTGCTCTAGTTGGGAGGGGCTCATCTTTTGTCGGATTGTTATCTATCATTAAATGAATTACTTGTATATTGTGACAAGTTTCATTTGTAAGGACAGGTGATTCTCTGCAGTGGCTCCATCCCCATATCCCACCTCTGGTCTGTGCCTCTGGGTCCTTTCTAGAGTAGTTGGTGCTCCCTATAGCGGTTGGCCCTAAGCATTTTTCATTTCTATAGCAGGGTTAATAATTCTACTACCACCTCCACTTTCTGGTCTTGTGACCCCTCCATCCTAAATTTTCTACTCTCAACCTTTATCAAGGAGTACTGCTCAGGAATATACTCCCTCAATTTAGTGGTTTCTTTTTTCTTTGAGTGGGGCTGTGGTTTGGGAAAGCAGACCACAGATGTGCAGGCCATTGTCCACTCAATACGTCAAGTGCACATCAATCAACACTCAATCATGCCTACATGACAGATCACAGATAGTGTTAACCTTCAACACCAGACTAAGGTAGAGTTTCCCAGTTTTCTTCACACTTACTGGTGTTCTGCTACAAACACTTAACATGCATGCAGGGTTTTTGTGCAAATATAAGTTTAAAATTAGTTGGGTAACTAGCAGGGCAGTGATCACTGGGTTTATGGTCAGTGTCTTTTCAGCTTTCAAAGAAACTGTCAAAGATCTCCCACAGTGACCGCACCATTTTGCATTCCTGCCAGCAGCGATGAGGCTCCTATTGTCCACATCCTGGGCAGCACCTGGTATTGCACAGGGTTTGCGTTATAAGCCTCCTCCTTGGTGTGATGGCGTCAGTGTTGTTCTTAACTGTCTTTCCCTCGTGCCCTGTGATGCTGAGCATCTGTTCATGTTCTTCCTTGTCATCTGTATCTCTTCTTGGTGAAATCTCTATTAAGGCTTTCATCCACATTTTTACTGAAGTACCATTGATTTAATTCACTGTTTTTGTCTTTTCTTAAAATTGGGTTCATTTCTTTCTGATACTGAGTTTTAATGGCTATTTTGTAAATTTGAGATACAGTCCTTTATCAGATTCATGATGTGTAATGTTTCTCCCACTTTGTGTCCTGAACTCCAGTAGTGACAGGAAAACAAACACTATTGTCCAGACAGAAGTGTGGATTATTTTTTTTTAAAGATTTATTTATTTATTTATTTATACAAGCACTGGGTACAGTCAGAAGCACGGGAGGGTGAGAGAATTCACCAGAGCCAGAGCGGGGAACAGAACAGGCAGACTGATGTAATACCCTGCTGAGGGGGGAGCAGTGGGCACTGCAAGAGAGGTCTGTGCTCCATGTGGAACCCTTGCTGGCGGCTGGGGATTGAAACGGCACTATAGAGACTGCGGGCAGCTTCGCAGCCCAGGGCTCAACCACTGTGCCACCAGGGTAGGCCCCATGGATTTTTTTTTTGAGAAGAAAAATGATAAAGTGAACTAGTTTTGAGAAGATATTGGCTGATTGGGGTGCTGGGGGGTGAGGGAGAATGACTCATCTCTGTGCATCCTTGAGTGTTATTTAAATGTTCTTGCATGCACTACAAAGAATGATTTCAAAAGTAAATTATGCTAAATTTCTCAACTTATAAAACACATCACAGATCACGTCCAAAACATGTGTTAACACCTTGGGAAGTTTTCTTCAGTTAGCTCCTTGAATAATTTCTCAGTTCCTTTGTCTCACTCCCCACCTTGTGGAATGCCTATAACTCTTAAATTTCCTCTCTTCATGGAGTCTGATAATTGTGGGAGAGATCCTCATACCTCTTCCATTGCACTTCTCTCTCCTTTTCTCTTTTGGCTCTTTTAATTTCTGTATCTTCGAGAGTACTAATCTGTTCTTCCATTTCATTGATTCTGTTTTCATTGCTTTTCCCAGAGTTCTTTATCTCTAGTAATCTTTTAATCTCCTGCATTTCTTTTATTTCCTTTCCTAAGGTCTCAACTTCATTCTTCAGTTCATTGACTATTTGTCTCAAATCATTTTTTTCCTTTGTTTTCTTTCTACTTTTTAATCATTATGATCATTAATTCTCTGTCTGACAGGCCGAGTTCTTCCATGTTATTGTTGAGCTCTGGTGACTTTTTCTTTTTGTGGTGTGTCCTTCTCCTGTGGGCTTGCTTTCTTGGAATTCTCAGGATAGAAGGAATGTACCTTAACATGATAAAAGCCATATATGACAAACCCACTGCATTATTATTCTCAATGGGGAAAAGCTGAAGGCCTTTCCTTTAAGATCAGGAACAAGACAAGGATGGCCCCTCTCACCACTGCTCTACCATTTAATACTGGAGGTCCTAGCCAGGGCAATAAGACAAGAGAAAGACATAAAAGGAATCCAAATAAGGAAAGAAGAAGTAAAACTATCACTATTTGCCGACAATATGATAATATACATAGAGAACCCTAAAAACTCCATAGAAAAATTACTCAAAATAATTAACCAGTATAGTAAAGTAGCAGGATACAAAATCAACACACAAAAGCCAGTAGCCTTCCTATACACAATCAATCTTAAGAAGAAGAAATCAAGAAAACCATCCCTTTTATGATTGAAACAAAAAATATCAAATACATGGGAATAAACCCAACAAAAGAAGTGAAGGACCTATACAAAGAAAATTATAAAATACTGTTAAAAGAAACAGAAGACACAAAGAAATGGAAAGACATGCCTGCTCATGGATTGGAAGCATTAACATCATTAATATGCCCATCCTACCAAAAGCAATATACAGATTCAACACTATTCCAATAAAAATCTCGGTGACATTCTTCAAAGAAATAGAACAAATGCTGATGAAATTCATATGGAACCACAAAAAAACATGAATAACCAAAGACCTACTGAAGAAAACAAAGGAGAGAGGAGGTATCACACTTCCAAACTTCAAGCTATACTACAAAGCCATAATAATTAAAACAGTTTGATAGTGGAACAAAAACAGACACACAGACCAATGGAACCGAATAGAAAGCCCAGAAATAAAACCACATGTATATAGACAACTGATCTTTGACAAACGAGCAAAGAATATGCAATGGAACAAGGACATTTGTTCAATAAATGGTGCTGGGAAACCTGGACCACCACATGTAAAAAAATAAAACTAGACCACTACCTCTCACCATGCACAAAAATCAACTCAAAATGGATAAAAGAACTGAAGCCATAAAATACATAGAAGAAAATATACGTAAAACACTATGAGACGCACATCTCAGAAACATCTTTAAAGACTCATCACTCAAAGCAAAGAAAGTCAAGGAAAAGATAAACACCTGGGATTACATCATACTGAAAAGCTTCTGTATAGCAAAAGAGACATTAACCAACACAGATATACACTCCACTGATTGGTAAAAAATCTTTGCACTCCTTTCAACTGATAAGGGACTGATCACAAAGATATACAAAGAACTCACACAACTCAACAAAAACAAAATAAACAATCCAGTTAAGAAATGGGCAGAACTTAAAAGACACTTCTCCAAAGAAGAAATGCAAATGGCCAACAGGCACATGAAAAAATGTTTGATATCCCTTATAATCAGAGAAATGCAAATCAAAACCACATTGCGATACCACCTTACACCAGTAAGAATTGCACATATTAAAAAAAAAACAAAAAACAAGCAACAACTTCATAGGTTGCATCTTACCCCAATAAATGTTGGCGAGGATGTGGTGAAAAAGGAACTCTCCTACATTGCTGGTGGGAGTGCAAACTGGTTCAACCACTATGGAAAACTGTCTGGAGGTTTCTCAGTCTACTAAAAATGGAGCTACTATATGACCTGGCAATTCCACTCCCAGGTATCTACCCAAAGGACACAAAAACATTGATGCAAAAGAACACCTGTACTCCTGTTTACTGCAGCACTATTTACAATAAGTAAAACCTGGAAACAACCCAAATGCCCAAAAATAGATGATTGGATCAAGAAGATGTGGTATGGAATATTATTCAACAATCAAAAAAGACAAACGCATGCCTTTAACAGCAATGTGGATGGAGCTAGAAGGAATTATGCTCAGTGAAATAAGCCAGAAGGAAAAAGAAAAATATCGGATGGTTTCACTTACAGCAGGAATATAGGGGAACCAAATAAGACATCAGTGTAAAAAAATAATAACAGTACAAAACACAACAAAGCAAAAACAGACAATTGTAAATGAGAGACATCCTGCAGGGGATGAGGGAGAGGGAACAGAGGGAGGGAGGGAAGAGCACAGGGGAATGAGGTGATGGTGCACAGGTGAATTGATGAAGGAAACTCTATGGGGACTATGCCTGAGGGGGTAGGGGGAAGCAAATATTGTTTAAATATTGTTTAAAAATGAACAATGATGTAAAAAAATAAAAAAAAAATTAAAAAAAGACAGTATCGAGGGGAGAAATATTTGTACATCCTATATTCAACTAGAGGTTAATATCCAAGATCTACAAATGACTCCAAAACAAGAAAACAACCCAAAACAAGAGCTAAATAGGCACTTCTCTAAAGAAGACATGCGTGTGGCCAATACCTACATGGATAAATGTTTGTCATCATTTGCTGTCAGGAAAATGCCAATTATTATTATTATTTTTTAAAGATTTATTTATTTATGCATACCAGAACTAGATTACAGGCCAGAGGTGTGGGGGATGAGAGGACTCACCAGAGACAGAGTGCGGAACGGAACAGGCAGACTGACCAAAGCACACTACTGAGGGGAGCAGCAGGGAGACAGGAGAGGTCTGCTGCACCATGTTGCTAGCTCCCTGGCTGGGGATCGAACTTGTGCTGCAGCGGCTGCAGATAGCGTCATAGGTTGCATCTTAACCCCTTGTGCCACCATGGAGGCCTGGAAAATGTCAATTAAAACCACAATGAGATACCACCTCATACCTGTAACAATGACTCACTGCAGAGCGAGGAGGAAAAGGAACTCACTTACATTATGGGTGGGAATGGAGACTGCTCCTGTTGGCAGGCTGAGAGGATTCCATGGATGCTCAAATCTGATCAATCTAAGTGGGTTCTGTCATAAGCTGCATAAAGACAAAAACATACTATAGTATGTAAGACCTTTAATAGAAAAGAATGATAATAGAATTAGTGTGCAATAAAGAATTAGTGTGCAATAGAGAAAGAGAAGAGAAGGAATATAGTTAAAATAGTTCCCAAACAAAACACCCAAAGTTACCCGTCCCCTCATGGGTAAAGCCCAGCCAAACAGAGCTGGCCCAAAGCAGGAGTGCTGAGGCCCAAAATCCTGCCACAGTCTAAGGCACCTTTGGTGGGGACTCCCAGGAAAGGGGCAGGAGGGGCCAGGAATTATGCTCAGTGAAATAAGTGAGAAGGAAAAAGAAAAATATCGGATGCTTTCACTTATAGGAGGAATACAGGAGACCCCGGGGGATAAAATAATAACAATACAAAACACAACAAAGCAAAACAAAACAGAAACAGACAGTTATAAACCAGAGACATCCTGCAAGGGAGGAGAAGGGAGAGGAATCAAAGGGAGGGATGGAGGAGCCCAGGGGACTGGTGCAGGGGTGCATTCGCGAAGGAAATTCTATGGGGACTACACCTGGGGGAGGGGAATAAAAAAAAGCAAACATTGTTTAAAAATGAACAATGATGTAAAAATATATGACAAGTTGTAAAAAAAATTTAATATAAAGTCACAATAATCAAGACAGTATAACCTCGGTGAAAGAACAGACGAATAGGTTAATGGACCAGAGAGCTGATAAACAGGCCCACACAAATGGAGTCAACTCATCACTGGCAAACAGCAAGGACAACACAATGAAGAAAAGAGCCTTCTGAATAAATGGTTCTGGAACAACTGGATGCTCACATGCAAAACTTTGAATCTATCTAGACACAGACTTTACACTCTTGACAAAAAAATCACTCAAAATGGATCTAAGTTAAAATGCAAGCTATAAAACTCCTAGAAGATAACATAAGCTAAATGACCTTGGGTGTGGTGATGTCTTTAGCTGCAACACCAAGGGCACAATGCATGGAAGAAAGAATTGATATGCTGTTCACTAAAATTAAAATTTTCTGCTCTGTTAAAGAAACTGTCAAGAGAATGAAAAGATAAGTCACAGACTGGGAGAAGATACGTGTGATCAAGAACTGTTATCCAAAATCTACAAGGAACTCTTAAAGCGCAATAAGAAGAAGACAATCAGTTTAAAAACTGTAACAAACAACTGCCAACAGGTTCATGAGAAGATGCTCCTCATCACTAATCATCAGGGAAATGCAGATCAAAACCTCAATGAGATGTTACTTCCTACCTGTTACTATGGCTACTCTCAAAAAGACAAGAGATAGCAAGTGTCAGGTAGAATGTGGAGAAAAGAAAAGGAATACCACTGTACTGCTGATGGGAATGTAAACTTGTAGCTACTCTGGAAAACAGTATGGAGACCCTGCAAAAAATTGAAAATAGTTGCCATGTGATCCAGCAATCCCACTTCTGGGTTAATATTGGAAGGAAATGAAATCACTCTCTTGATAGTTTCCTCCCTATGTTCACTGCAGCATTATTATTTGTAATAGCCAAGACACGGAAACAACCCAACTTCCATCAACAGATGAATGGATACAGATGTGTTTCATACACTGGAATGTTACTCAGCCATAAAAAGGGGGAAAGCCTGCCATTTTCAACAACACAGATTGATGGACCTTTGAGAGCATTATGCCATGTGACATAAGTCAGACAAATGCTGTATGCTCTCATAACTGGAATCTTTAAAAAAAAAAAAAGCCACACTCGCAGAAACAGGGAATAGAATGATGGTTGCCATGGGCTGGGAGTGGGGAGGAAGATATTGCTCAAAGGTTATGAGCTTCCAGTTATGAGTAAATTTTGGGTCTAGTATTTATCATGGTAACTATATTTAACACTACTGTATTATACACTTGCTAGTTGTTAAGAGAGTAAATCTTAAATGTTCTCAACATACATACACACAAATTGTAATTATGTGGGGTGATGGCTGTGTTAACTAGCCTTATTGTAGTAATTCTTTCACAATATATACATGTTTCAAATCATCATATTGTATACCTTAAACTTAATATGCCAATTATGTCTCAATAAAGTTGGAAAATAAATATAACAAAACAAAACAAAACAAAATGAGCTTTGAAAGACACGGACGACAAAATCAGTCAACTCTATGAGCTTATTGATCAGGAAGCTGCCTTAATAGGCTCAAGGTCACTGAAGGCAGGTTTCTGTCCCTTCTCCCTCTTCTGGTGGTGAATCTCCCTCCGTGGTAACCAACCTCCATTTCATCTTCCGGAGGTCACAGCCGTTGACTGGGAACAACACCTGGAAAATCTGGAACAGTTTCAGCAGCAGGAACAAGCACCAGGACCCTGAGGTGAAGCCTCTGGTGGAGCCAAAGAGCGTGAGTCACACCTGGGCCATAATCTGAGGTGGCTTCTCCTCCCCCTGAGTGAGGAGCCCTCATTAGCTTGTCAGCACCTCCCTCCCCACTCTGTGGACAGTTCCTGGTCCTAGGAACCCCACAGGCCCAAGAGAGAGGAGCCTCCAGAGGTCCTGAGTGTCCCTGAGGGTCATTCTTAGATTCTACAGGATATTCAACTTGCAGTAACGTGCTGACCTTGAGGAAAAGACATCTTCATTACTTCTGTGGGTTTTGATTATCTAGGTTTTTAACTTCAGTAGGATTAGAGAATTTCAAGTTTGTCACCTCACTAAACTCAGTCTCGACATGAAATAGTACCTAGAATCTCCAAGTATAACATGTGGAATTCCCACCTGGCAAAACAATTAAGGAGTACTTACAAATAAGCCAGCCTAGGAAATTTCTAAGTATAATAAATGACACCAAGATCAAATTAAGGGAATCAAAAAAAGAAGAACTTCAAGGAGAAAATTTGAATTTCATGGGGGATCATAAATGTGCTGAATTAAATAGTCCTTCATGGGTCCCAGGCGGTGATTATAATGCACTGGAACCTTCTGTGGGTCAGGTCCTTTCAGTCATAATTTCACTGCTCCCCGGGCACTTCTGTCCTTGATAAAGCAGATGATGCTCAGGGAAACACCCCATGTCCCATCCTCCGGCCTGGAGTCTGCTGAGCCAGAAGCTCCCTGGCCCCGGCTCCCCTTTGGTTTGAGTCTGTGCCCCCAGCCCCGGGGGGCTGCCTCTCCAACCCCACAGCCCAGGGCCCCGGAGACACATGAGCCAGACAGACTCAGAGCAGAACTGGCTCCCCAAGGCCTGGGGCAGGGAGGGGACCCCCAAGTTCAGCCCACTGTTTTCTCCCTCCCAGGGGGACCTTCACAAGGTCACAGAGCAGAGGAAAAGGCACCGCCATGTGAGTATTCTGTGGGGGCCAGGCAGGGCCTAATACCCACACCTCAGTGGCCCAATTGAATTCCTGGTGATGGAGCCTGCGTCCTGCTCCCAGGGCTGGTGAAAATACCATGCAGAGCTGCTCTGTGCGCACAGGCTAAAGGGAGTGGCCAGCAGAGGAGCTTATAGAATGACCTTGGCGAGACTCTGGCTCCACATCCAGCTACTGGAGGGACAATGAGGCATGGTGGCTTCTCCCTAAGCCTGAGGTAGGATCCTCATCAGCCCCCCAGAGGGGCAGCCCTGACCCTTCCCCCACGCCACCCCCCCAGACTCTGGGCCAGTGGGCATTTTCCTGCAGCCACATGACCTGAGGCTGGAAGTGGTGACTGTCCCTGGAGGGCATGTGCTGACACCTGGCACCTCCCTTCAAGGAGTGACCTCCTTGAGCTGGAAAGACCTTCACAGTCATTCTCACTCTAGCCGTGAGGGTGATCAATGGAAAGACCATCAGGCCAGTGATGGCAGAACCTGGACACAGCAGGGACCCTGACTCCCAGTCCCTGCTCATCCCCTGACGCCTGAGGGAGGAGAGGTTGAGGGTCCCCAGAGAGGAGCTGGACACTCCCCTCCTCCTGCTCTTCCCTCATGGAAAATATAGGAAACAAATGGAGAAATAATTTAGGCCACAGGAAAATATCTATCTATGAGTATATTTGTTATTCTGGGTTGAATAAAATTTATGATATTTGACCATAAGCTTTAAACCCGGATGAATATTTCAATCTAAGTGCCAAGTAGCAGAAGACATCTGTTTTGTCTAGAAGCACCTCAAATCTCCTCACTAAAATGTTGTTAATACAGAGGGGAAAAGAGGAAACAATGTTTGATATCAAAAGGACACCAACTTGTAGGTGTCCTGAGTGCTGAGTTGAAGTAACACACTGTTGTTATGGGGTGGGGAGGATTTCAGGACAGACGTCCTGTGGACACGCACAGGAGCAGGAGGAAGCTCTCCAGGGTGAGGCCTGTGAGCACAGGTGTGAGGAGCCTGCTTAGGGTCCACAGTCAATGCACACGCTCCTGGTTTCTCCCAGGGGATCTGCAGAAGATTGATAAATATTGGTGAATGAAACCATGAAAGATACTCAAACACCTGTTTGGGGGGAGCAGCTGGGCTTAAAACAACGTCAGGGGAACAATTTGAGTTTCTCTAGTGAAGCCAATAACTTATACTTTTAAAAGAAATGATGATTTCATTTTGACCAACAGTCATGGCTGTCAGCCCAGAGACCTAAAGACAAGCAGGATCTGTGAGCTGCAGGGTGAGCGTCCACATCAGGCAGAAACGGCCTCTGCAGCACAGACAGTGAGGATGGACGTCAAGGGCAGAGATGCCTAGAGACCCCTCTCCCCACCTGGACACTGCAGACACAGGGTAAGGTCACCTCCAGGGCCCCATGAGAGCTGCTCTTCTACCCGAGGGAGCAAGTGATCCACAGACCCCCCTCCTGAGACCTGCTTCTCTACTGGGAAGGAGAAGCCACACTTTCCCCTTTGCCTCCAGAGTCACGTAAAGGTGCTCTGTGTGCGTTGTAGGAGGAGAATGAATTCAAGCTTTTCAGTAATAGTCATTACTAATAATGACATTTCTCAGCTTCCAGAGGAGAAAACTGAACAACAGGTCACTT